TTGGATTTAAAATATATTTTGGTCACATCTGTAATCCCAGCACTTTGAAAGGCTGAGGTGGGCGGATAACTTGAGTTCAGGAGTTCCAGATCAGCCTGACCATCTCTACTAAAAATACAAAATTAGCTGGATGTGGTGGCGCATGCCTGTAATCCAAGCTATTGGGGAGGCTGAGGCAGAAGAATCGATTCAACACAGGAGGCAGTGAGCTGAGATTGTGCCATTGCACTCCAGCCTGGGCAACAAGAACAAAACTGTCTCTATCTATCTATCTATCTATCTATCTATCTATCTATCTATCTATCTATCTATCTAATTATCTATCTAGATAGATAGATATAGAGATATATCTATCTATCTATCTATCTATCTATCTATCTATCTATCTATCTATATGCAGGCCTGTTCATATATCTATCTATCTATATCTATATCTATATCTATATCTATATCTATATCTATATCTATATATATATATATATAGAGAGAGAGAGAGAGAGAGTTTTGTTCTTGTTGCCCAGGCTGGAGTGCAATGGCACAATATATATATGTGTGTGTGTGTGTGTGTGTATATGTATGTGTGTGTGTGTGTGTAGATAGATAGATATATGAACAGGCCTGCACTCCAGTGAGTTTTGCCAGCTTGGAAGTGGAGGGGAGAAAGAAACAATGTAAATGAACTCTAGTTTTTAGATCTGTGCAACTCAGTAAATTATTGTCCTAATAATTGAAATAAAAATCTCTGGAGGGGAAAGAGATTTTTAGAAAGATGTTTGGAGGCATCAAAAGCTTTACTTTAGACAATAAGTTTGCCTAATGAAACTCCCAATAGAGCTGCTAATGAGGTGATTGGTTGTACAATTCGAGTAGTCAGAGATGCAAACTTGGAGGTTATTAGGAAATACATAGGATTCAAAACCATAAGGCTTATCAGGGTCACTGGGAAAACACTGTAAATTTAAAAAGAAACATAAACCCAAGGAGTATGAAAAATATAAAACCATTTCATTCCAAATTTAACTTTCAGCATTTCCTTGAGAAAAAGGAAAACAAAAAGTTTCACTGAATTTGCTCCTCGTAGACGGAAGCTCAAGTACATCTGCTCTATTTCAGGTATTGCAGGTGCTACAGAATTCTTCTTAGACTTTGTAACATTAAAAAAAAAGAAAGTTTTCTTCTAATAAAAATTTAACTTATTTATTACACTAGATAATCACACTAATGTATAAAACTAAGAAACATAAAAGAAGGAAATTGTCAGGAACATTTTTTTCTGTAATACTTTCATTTTGGTCTTATTCAAAAAGGATACTTATAAGGGAAACTACCTGAGCATTTACACATAGTGGGTGGTGATTTTGGGAATAGGTACATTTTTTCTTAGACATGAGAAACAAGATTACAGGTAAAGTCAGCAATGTGGAGCATGGTTAGTTAATCACAGTAACTCATTAATGTGTAAGTCCCAAGCAAAGCACATGTTGTAATTAGGGTTTAAGTGCAAAATATGCTTTAACTACAGAAATCAGTCATCAATATTTCCAGGTTAATTACCTATGAGGATGCAATACCAGAGATAGGAAGAGCCAAATGGAAATGAACTGGGAATTTGTAAGGATTATGGGCAAAGCAAAGTTACATATAGATTGGGAAATTGAATGTTTGCTTTACATTTATCTAAATCTCCAAGATTGGGTGATACACATCCTAAGTGGGTGTATGCATGCACAAGTCCACCTGTATGCCTAGAAAATAGGCTTTAATTGAACAGAAAAATCAGTTGGGTTCACAGACTTTGACATCATTATTTGTTCAGATGAGTCAGAGTTACAGCTTCAAACCATAGACTTATTTATAGAAATGGAGCAAAGTCACAATTTATCTAAACACTCAGCTGATGATTGTACCTGATTCAAGGACAATCTTCTTGAATGATTTCTTAAAAGTTAACTTTTCCAGTTAAAGAGGAAAAGGATGACGAGAGAAAAGGCTGAGAAAACTGACTACAAAAGCTCACAAAATATTTAGATTAATGATAACAAGTGTTAAAAGGGGTGCCTGAAAGTAACGTTTAAAATTAAAACATGGAAAGGGCATGTAAGAAATTAAGCATAATCAGTATTTTCATTAAATTTAGTCAGTATGTATTGATCACTTATGGATTATAAACCTTAGAAGTCAGAATGTTTTCCTTCTAGCAGGTTACAGTTTACCATAAACGATATAAACAAACTACTGAGCATTTAACAGAAAACTAGGAAGAATAGAAGTAGACAAGACTTCTTTCAGGACCCAAACTTGGACATGTTTTTGTTGATTAGGCCATAAAATACGGAACGGTCAAAGGAAAGTGAAGGCGAGATTCCAGGTTGTAGAAACACTATAGGCCAAGTTTTAGGTGTTTAAGTTACTGAAAGATTAGAAAGACCAGGAAGCTGTTAATGAAATACTGAAGTCACCAGAGCTATAGGAAGAATCATAAGGAACTGAAGAACCACTGTTCACCATTTGGGTCCAGAGCTGGCGCTTCTCCAAACTAGATAAACGTACAGACCACTCTTTGTAATTGCCAATTTGGCAGGTATCTCTGTTGATTATTTTGAGCAATTACCTAATAATGGGATGACATAAGTAGTGACAGTACAAGCTTAGAAATCTACCTACTTTAGAGATGTTACAATCAACAGGTACCTAACAAGTGACATCCACTTAAAGTTTGTAACCTCAAACTGGAAGGCCAATACAGGAAGATTATCAAAAGACAATGTCGAAAATTTTTATCAGATATTTTAAGAACTAGGTAACACTTAGAAGAATCTCAGGTAAAAAGCCTTTAGAATAAAAATAGTTCATGCATCTCCATAGCGAGGTGTCTACAATCTTGCATTAAAGGCATCATTTAGGAAGTTTGTAGGGTACTTTTTAAGTGGAAAAATACATACTTAACCTTTATCCCTAAAACAGATCGTCTTATTGGTTTATCTGTAGCTTGAAGGCATTTGATTAGGGCTAGAAACAAAGCGTAACACATTAAAGAAAATACCAATTAGAGGTCAAAGTTTAGCTATATCATAATTTTACCAAAGTTATAAATCTTTTTTTCCCAAAAGAAAAATAGTATATAGCATCTATTTGATTTTGAATTATTTGACATAATTTAATGTTTCCTCCATTCTTGAAGATTTATCATATATCTCAATTTTCACATAATAACTCATATCCATTTTATATCTTTAAAATGAATTTCTATTAATCCTTCTTCCCCCTTTTGTCTAATTAACTAGGAATAAATTTTCTTACCATATTGAATAAATCATTTGAGGAAAATAAGAATCACACTTCCTTTTCACTCTTAGACGGCTATCACACATTTTAAAAAAATCATTCTTTGTATTTGCAATTCAAAATCAGAGAAACTAACTTAATTATCATGCAAAGTATATATAATTTTCATGATTTGCTCATCAAAGTGGCTTTAAGAGGATTCTGTCACAAAGATGCTCTGATAGTAACAGGAAAGCACAAATCCTCACATGGAATCTGTTAAGTGAAAATAAAAAGCGTTTCAAGCTTCCATTGCTCCCCCTAACGGTAGGAAACCAGAAAACATCTAGATGTATATATTTCACATTTCTTTGTCAATTAAATGCTTTACAGAAACCTTCCTCCAAGTATGTTCAATATTGTGTTTTATGTAAGTTTACAAAATGAACTAAAAATAATAAATATATCAACTATTATTAAATTCTTGTTATATGAAAGAGTCCTTGCTATCTTAAGTAATTATTAAATGTTTGGAATTCATCTCTTTCCTTAAGTTTAGGATAAAGGTGAAAAAGTTAATCTCATAGACTGTATAATGTAAATCAATTCTCTAGAGGAATCAATCCTATTTTTTCTCAACTGTTACTACATGATTGATTTATTTAAAAATTAAACCAGGCTCAGACAACTTTACATTTAAATATTTACTCTAACAGCACTGACTTGTCAAATCACTCCATGTATCTTGAAATGCTGAATACAAGAAGAAAGTTTTATGTTAAAAGGCGCTTTGAGCAATTTTCTTTTGAGAACTCAGGCAAAGAATGGGTATCAGTGTAACTCATGAAATACAAGAAGACGATCATAGAAAAGTGACTTTGGTGAATGGTGGTTATTTAGGATTGTCTCCTTTCCAAAAGCACAATCTCATTTTTATGATGAATAGAGGATTATCACAGGGAAAAAAGTTGATGCAATAATAAAAACTAATGAGAGGAGAATCACACAAAGAATAAGACACAGCATCAAAAATGAATTCAAAAAGAGCAGAACAATATAGGTACAAAAAGAGATAATGAACAGGAAAAAAAAAGTCAGTGAGACAACAATACACATTTTTACCTGAGAGCATGTAAGTAATTTAGAGCTGGATTTTATAAACATGAAATTGTTTTTCTAATACATTCAACCAAAAGTCAGCATACATAGTTCAGTCATCTCTCATTACTTACAATAAAATATTTTCCATTTGTTAGGAAATAATATCTTATTCCCTGGATCTATTATTTCTTTTTTATTGATTTTCTTTCTAATCTCCAAATTTATTTACTTAATTTTTATAACTGATTCTCTGTCTATATTCTGTCTTATTCTAGCATGGATTATTTAAAACCTGTATTAGTTTTGGAACCAGTAAACATTTGCTCAGAAGTTTGGATTACCAGAAAAGAACCCTACTCTTTAAGAACTTCCCAGCCTAAGAAGTCACTGATTTCATGGATTCATCCTGGAGATTTTGCTTAAAAATTAGAAATAACAGATCTCATGTTTTACAAAATCAAAATGACAACTTTTGGAGTGGGGGAATGAGAAATGGGAAAAGAGATCAGTATGCTGTATATAGCAGTGCTTTTGAATGACTCCTTCTGTGCGTCAGAAATCCAAAGCAGCAGCAGCAATTAGGGAAGATCGTCACTTTCACTCAAGGTTCAGAAATGGGGGTGGAAAAAGGGGGGACAAATGAATCGGAGAGGAGAAAGAAGGGAGGGATAGAGGTGAAGATAGGGCACATCCTGCAAAGATAATGCCTGTACAATCAATGACATCATCCTGCTGCTTATATATGTAGGGGAATGGCCAGAGCACTTCTCACAGTTCACTCACTTTCAAAGCCAGCTGAAGGCAAGAGGAAGCACGAGAGAGAGCCCCCTTCAGTGTCCTTCTGACTTTTATGAACTTGGCTTGCTATAGAAGGCTGAAAGATGATGGCAGGAATGAAAATCCAGCTTGTATGCATTCTACTCCTGGCTTTCAGCTCCTTGAGTCTGTGCTCAGGTAAGCAAAACTGCATTTCACAACTCCCTGAAGTGATTTATTTTTTCTCTTTTGCATTGTGTTGCTACTTATGTTAATGTTTTTAGGATTTACCTGTCAGTGATAGAAACTGTGAATATCTTTTTCTCTGCCTTTATGATTACAATAACTGAGAGATTTATTTTCCCTTTTAAAATCTGCAAAGCAATAAAAGGGATTTCAATGAAACACTGCATGACCCCCTTTGTAATGCAACCATGAGGAAAAAAATACTACAAAACTTTCAATTAGGCTGGTCATTATCTAATGAGAAGTACATAAGCAGTGTCTGTCAACCTGCGAACTCATCATTAATCCCATCCATTCAAAATGTTTTATTCTCATTCTCATTCATCTCTTAGCAAGCGGTGGCCCTCATGCCATTTTAATAGTCCTCATATTATCTTCCTACTTGTTTGTGTTAAGATAACACATGAAGTGCAAATTGATGCTTAGTGAATAAATAAAGCATTATTTGTAGAAAATTATTTCTAGAAAAATACAAAAATATTCCCAGTCCTTTTTGAGAATACATTGTGCATAGTCTAATAAGTATGCTATTAATATAACAGTTTGGTACTTTTTCTCCATGCCATTTAAATTAATACAGAATTCAGTTGGCCAATTGGTATTCTTATATTGATGGAAATGATTTGACTTTAGAGTGTTTTGCATGCGGTATGAAAGGAGAAGTTATATAGTCCTAAATGTCTATGAATAACTCACTTTGAAAATGAGATGTAAATTGAAAGGTGTAACATGAAATATTACAACCATTGCAAAAAGCTCTACTTAGTATTTAAGAAATATTGGAATGACCACTTCAAAATGAAAAGAACACCTTAGAAAGAAAATGCAGCAAAAATAATTTAACCTGTTCTATGCCTTTAGGTATCATAAATATGACATTGAAATGTTTAATTCAAACTCATGCTACAATTTGATATGAAATTGAAATCTAAGAAGATATGTCATTTATGCGATTATTTTAATCATCAGAAAATAACTTTAAATCTTATGAGAAAAACAAACATTTTTACAATTATGAGTTTATCTGAAAGTTATGTGAGATTAAAGCTTCAATACTTCTGAAAGAAAAACTGGATTATTGATGAAGCACTGTGTTTGGTAACTTGAAAGTACTTGCTGTAATAATGCAAAAGTTATGAGGATTTTGATATATACATTGTTCATAAATGAATAATAGAATTTGCCATTCCTTTTGAAAAATAGATTATGTACCTAACAAATAGGGAGAAAGATCTCTTGTACAATTTAGGTTCTAGGTAATATCAAACAAATGGTTTCTCTGAGTGTGACATTTCTTTTTAATGGGTGTGTAATACAAGGAAGATAGAGTCATTTTTAACTTTATTTTTATTATAGCATTTTCTAAATTTTCCTTCTCTGTAAAATATTCATTAACAGAAACTCAGATAGAGTTTTTTAAAAATCCCGTGATCCATAGTCAATGCTGTCGTACATACGATGTTGAACAGCTCCACTTTTGCTTAAGCAATTTCCTTAAATGCTTCTGATAAAATTAAAAATACATAATTCCAAATTCTTGTTTAAAGTACAAATGCAGTTCCTTCAAAGTGTGTTTTTGTTAAAAAAAAAATCTCAAGTTAAGTAAATCTCAGTATCTTTATTATTCAAAAATTATCAATAAGCAATTCCCTTTGGTTTTGACTTGAAAAAGTCTCTTATATAATCTTCATTAAGTTGTGTATTTAAATGTTAATATGCATATTTTCTATATATGTAAACTATGGCTGGTAAAAAATAAACTACCCTAGCATATTTGGTAAAATATGTATTACACAATATGATCACATTTTTAAAATCTGAAATTTAAAGAATAAACAACTCCAAGTCATCAATAGCTGTCTGAACAAACAGTCATATGCATTTTCTTAGAAGTGCTTCTATTATTTTAGCTTCCTATTATGCTAAAATATAACTATAACTTGTTGTTTAGGGTTACTATTTTTAAGAAAATACATTAGAAAGACTAAACCTCTAAAACTAATATTTTAGATCAACCTAAAATTTGTAGATTATGATATAATTATATGATATGTGATTATAGTAAACGTGATTTTGATTTTACTCAGATTCAGAAGAGGAAATGAAAGCATTAGAAGCAGATTTGATGACCAATATGCATACATCAAAGGTAACTTTTTATTTTCCTTAACTCTTGGTTGAAGACCATATGAACTTTCATTATAAACATGGTATGTTTTTCCTATAGTAATAACTTCCCATCAAGATTGAAATGTTCCTTGAGAGGCATTTCCTTTTTGAAAAAAATTTCTTTTAGTAAAAAGAAGTCAAAGGTGCTGATATGAGAGGCAAAGAAACTAGAGTTCTATCAATCAGCATGTTGCAATTTTAATTAATTGTCACACATATTTACGTGGCTGTAAATGTTTTTAAAGAAACTTGTTTCCATGCCTTTTACATTGGGTATGATGAAAGGTGTATTGGCCTCAAGTTAAATGAAAACAAAGTGAACTCTTTGCTTTTTGCTATTATATTAGGGGAAATAAAAAGGTATTCTTAAATTAGAAGTAAAAGTTCATGACACCCTGTGAAAGAAATGTAGAAGAAAGGGGAGAGCAGTGGACTGGCAAACAAGAGCTTTGAGATCTAATCCTGAAACAGTGACTTATAAATATTTGATCTTTAGCAAGTGGATTAATTCACCTTGCTTACTTGTGTTTCCTTGTTTTTAAATGCAGGGGTTGCAGTTCATAATCTTCTAGACATTTACCGTTCTACAATGCATTTAAGAATTACTAAACTGTACTCTTCATTGTATGTCTGGATTTAAATTCTCCCTATAACAGACATGTTATTTTTACATGTTCCTTTTTTAATTTTTTTAATTGAGCCAAATGCAACTTTGTATACTGGGCCCTATTACTCCTCTGTTGGTGTCTTGAAAGCAAATTTTTATATTTCCAATCTGTATCTAGGAATAAGTTCTGGGGTACATATGCAGGATGTGCAGGTTTGTTATGTAGGTAAATGTGTGCTGTGCTGGTTTGCTCTACCTATCAACCCATCACATTGGTATTAAGCCCAATATGCATTAGCTATTTTTTCTAATGTTCTTCCTTTCTCCACCCCACCCTCTGACAGTCCCCAGTGTGTGTTGTTCCCCTCCCTGTGTCCATGAGTTCTCACTCTTTAGTACTCAATCAGAATATCAATGGATACAACCTCTTCAGTTCAAAAATAGAAACACAACTGAAATTAATAGTCTGTGTTAGAAAATGGTATAAGTTAGGTGCCTTGGTGTCTTGGTATAGATTTACCTAATTCCCAGGTGCAGCTTAAAACATAAAAGTCCTAGATAATCTGTGATGCTATCCATAACAATTATTGTGTGGAATACATTATTGGCATCATACTTTGTAATTTTCCACATTTCTTAATACCATCTTTGTCACTGCTCCATTACACTTTAAGCTGAAATGTAATGGAGATAGAATAATATTTTTTGAATTTGTAATTTTTCATCTGTGAGATATATATATATATATAATATTTATATATTTCTGACATCATTTCAATTTCCTTTTACTTTGCCCTGTGTGCACATGCATGTTTATGTGAATATAACTATTGTATTTTATTAATAGAAGTTATAAGATGCCAGCACTATGCAACTTTGTGACATGATGTCACTAAATTAATAACACTGAATTTATTAGACTGGAGTAACAGTTAGACCCTAACATGTGATGGTTTAGCACACTGGGAATTCATTTCTTGCTCATGTAACACAAGTTTTACAGTTGTTTTTTGCTTTTGGGTTTTTGTTTTTTCAGATTAGTAAAACAAGTGTTCCCTCTTGGAAGATGACTCTGCTTAATGTTTGCAGTCTTGTAAATAATTTGAACAGTCCAGCTGAGGAAACAGGAGAAGTTCGTGAAGAAGAGCTTGTTACAAGAAGGAAATTTCCTGCTGCTTTAGATGGCTTTAGCTTGGAAGCAATGTTGACAATATACCAGCTCCACAAAATTTGTCACAGCAGGGCTTTTCAACACTGGGAGGTATAGCAATAACACAATATTAATATAATTATAGTTACACTAGTTAGCTCTCAGTTGTAATAATGTATTAAATTCCTGATAATAATCATGACAAGAAGAGTTACAAGTACTGAAGAACAAGCCATGTGTTGAAGTCAACATTTCTTCCCATCTTCCAAATGTCCTTCAAATATTTGAAACTTAGCAAAATACGTTTTTCTTCAACCTTAAAAGGGTATATAAGGCAGATTTGATCCACATGTTTTTATTATGCTTACGTGGATGGCATGTTTAGGCAATTTTTGTTGTAGGTGGTGGCATATCTAACAAATGTAAGGAACTCAAATTGTTGTCTTAGAAACACAAAGTCACGTTTACTGATCTATAAACAAACACAGAATATAAAGATTCCAAATAAAACTGGAATAAAACATAAAAGTTTCTATTTGTATTCGAATATATTAGGCAAATAAAAAATGTAGTTGCTTATATATGAAAAAGTAGGATAAGGATATATTAAGTTGGTGCAAAAGTAATAGCAGTTCTTGCCACTGAAAGTAATGGCAAGAACCGCAGTTACTCTTGCACCAACCTAATATTTCCCTATTATTCCAGTTTTATCTGGAACTTTTTGTATTTGAATATATTAGGCAAATAAAAATATATCTAATTTATGTGAAAGTATATAATAGGAATATATATCCCTATAATTCCAATTTATTTTGAAACCTTTGGGTTCTGTGTTTGTTTATAAATGCATACAAAACTTGGTGTGTAATAATGTACTTGCAAAACACTTTACAATTTATTGCCTTCATTGATATATTTTGCTCTGAAAGATAAATTGCAGCTTTGGAAAGATAGAGAAAAATTTCGGGATGAGAAAGAGGAGAGGGGAAGAAAAATAAATTCTTTAATGAAACAAAACAAAATTTAAAAATTTTCTGACAGGGGAACATTTCTTTCAAATTAACCTCTAAGAGAAATTTGGTCAATATTCTATGTTCCGGATTTACAGTAGCATTGGGGATCTGAGGGGGCCTTCCCTGCTGATTTAACAAACTTGTGATTGACTACTAAAGAGCTACCCTGTAGATAAGAAGATATGCAGGCAGAATTTCTAGTGTTTATAATAACTGGTAAGCAAAAAGATAATTTCTAAACAAAAAACTAAAAAGACTGGTTTTAAATTTACTATTAATTATTTAATTTAAATTCTTGATAAATTGTTTAGTATTTAAAATATGTTTTAGGTCAAAGAAACTTGAAAAATATATATTTTAATATAGTAAAATATCCATCATATACTATTTATCCAAAAAAACTCAATAAACTATTATGCAGACAAATCAAGTGCAAATAAGATTAAAATGTTTGCCTATTTTAAATGTTATTGAGTGATTTAAAAATAAAATAATATTCTGAGTATAGTACAAGTAATTACAGACTATGCAGAGAGAAACTAAAGATTAAGAAACTGGATTGTCTGACAGTAGCTGTTTTTTCTCCTCTGAAATTGAAAAGCTGTGGCTTGAAATAAAGTACTTGGTTGTAATATTTTATTCCTATGCATTACGAATTAGAAGTTTGTTTCTGATCAGTATTTGTTACAGTGACCCCCTAAATTAGAAGACAACCAAAAATATAAAGAAAATTTTTATCTTAAACCTATTTTTAAAATGTATGTAAATTGTGTGTAAAACTCTGGACAGATTTCTTAAATATTTTATGGTAGCTGAAGTTTTTGAGTCGTATTCTTAGATTAAAAAATATATCCTTCATATTAGAATGGGGCATATTCCTGCCTCATCACATTAGGGAAGATGCTACATGAAGCTTAACTCCCTTAAGTTATTGAATCTGAGATTGCTTTAATGATTAAGAACCACAATCTAAAGAGATTGTTATCATTTGTTGACAGAGCTTTCCCATATGTGTATTTCTACAACTGACCAAGTTGGATAAAGGAGGCATTCCTCCCTCTATCAAGAAATAGATCCTTGGAATGGTTTTCATGTCAAGTCAGTAATTGATGTGATTGGGTATTAAATTTTGTTACCTTTGTGGCCAAACTTGATATACCAGATCAAAAACTATGTTTATTGTAATGTATAATATATTTCATACTTTTGGTGTTCCCATCATAAATCGAAGCCTGAAAAATATTCAAATGTCTATTTGGTGTTTTTCTTCAAAAGGAGGGATTAGTGTATGGCCTTGAAGTATATGGTTAGTGAAGTATATAGAAATTTTTAAAAATAGCTACCCTGGTGAACTAGGAAGAATACTGAACTAAGTCAGAATTACCGTGTTCTTATACTATTTCAGCCACTGGATAGCTGTCTCTCCTTTGAAAAAACAATTTCTTTGAACTTCATATATCTCAACTACATATGTTTTGCTGTCTTAACAGCAAATGAGATAGGCTGTAGAAAAATGCTCTGAAACAAAAGATTTTATTCATGTAAGTTTCACTTATGTTATCTCTATCTTGCAGTTAATCCAGGAAGATATTCTTGAAACTGGAAATGACAAAATGGAAAAGGAAGAAGTCATAAAGAGAAAAATTCCTTATATTCTGAAACGGCAGCTGTATGAGAATAAACCCAGAAGACCCTACATACTCAAAAGAGATTCTTACTATTACTGAGAAAATAAATCATTTATTTACATGTGATTGTGATTTATCATCCATTAATTAAGTATTAAATTATATATATATGTGTGAAAATGTGACAAAACACACTTATTTGTCTCTTCTACAATTGTGGTTTATTGAATGTGATTTTTCTGCACTAGTATAAATTAAACTAAGTGTTTTCAAATAAATCTAGATCTTCAGCATGATGTGTTGTGTATAATTGGAGTAGATATTAATTAAATCACATGTATAATGTTTTGTAATTTTGTAAAACATATCTTGAGTTGTTTAAACAGTCACAATATTTTATACTTATGAGATCAAAGAACTACAGCAAAGCCTAGCCTACATATCAATCACCCAAAACAAAGTAATAGCACCTCTTTTATTATTTTGACTGAATGTTTTATTGAATTGAAAGAAATATACACGCTTTTCAAGACTTCCTCATGAGTCTCTCAATTATACGAAAAGTTATTGTGATAAAATAGGGCCATCTGAAAGAATGATTCATCAACTATTGTTAATTGTTTCTATTTTAATGAATAATGAACTGATTATTTTTTGTCTGTTAAGTGAACTTGATAGCCAATAAAAAGAAAACTAGCCATAAAAATCATATGTTTCTCCACAGATTTACTTCTGTAAGAAGAGTTACTTTTATAGATTATTTTTCCTTTTAGCATTTTGATCTAGTAAATAATAGTTTTACTTTTAACTTCACTGAAGTATTTGTGTGACTAATATTTTTCTCAATTGGGAAGGCATATTTGAGGCAAAAGCTATGCTTGAAATAACACCTCTTAAATTTTCTTTAAGATAATACATATGGTGCCTGAAGCCCTCAAAGTCTTTGGAAGTCATCATTAGTGGTGACTTTCTTGACTCTCTCTTTTATGGAGGTCTAGGAAGTCCTCTCCTCACAAGGCTGCAACCTATTTCACAGTCATCTATGTGGGATAAATCAGAGCCTGAGTTGTTCTGGAATTAAGAAGGCTTGACAACTCCATATCCTTTTGAGAAGATTGTCCCTCCCCAAGTATTCATCTTACTCTTGGTAGAATTTAAGAAAAATCTATCGATCTCTTGGGTTTTTCTTGTAAAACATGACTTCCCATTACTGCTACCCCACCATCTCTTCCCATCCCATGAATCTCATAATTAAAAGTGCCAAGTTTCTGCGTATAAGAAGGAAACTATTTCATAATGATTAAGAGTGTATTCTCTGCAGTTAGAATCCCTAGATTCAGCTCCATTGCTCACTAAGCAGTATTGGACAACTTACTGAACCTCCCTATTTCTTCAGTCATAAAATATAGACAATAATGAGGTTTGCAGAAAGATGATATGAGCTGATATATAAAAATGCTTAGAATGATGCCTTGAACATATTAATAACATACTAAATTTAACACTTATTAGTAGTAACAGTAATATCAACTTTCCCTTAAGAAAGTGTTCAGCAGATGATACACTTCCCTGTTTACTTCACTAGGTCATATGGCATCATCAAAACTCTGTTCTAAGCCAATATCCACTCTTTTCCAACCCTTTAAATGCTTTCATTGGTTTTTCTATGAAACTCACGGTCAGTGCTCTCTTAATAGCTTTTCCGATGTCTGACTGCCTTTTTCTGCATGTGTTAACGTTGACTGGAAGTGTTCTGGTCACAATATATTTTTCCTTTCCATTTTAAAACTATGGATTATTTGAAATACAGAGCATAAGATAATTTCATCTACGGTGTTTTGAATAACTATTGTTCTGTCAGTTTCGGAACATTTTCACCTCCAATAATGAACATTTATCTTTTTCATCTCAACCAGCCACTTCCATGGTCATATCACAGAACCTTTCAATACCAATAAATTCATTCTTTACAAAATATCAGTTTCAAACACTCTACTGTTGAAACATCATCTTTTTTTCCAGTTCATATGAGCTAGTACTCTCACTCTAACATCTACGATTCTGTCTAATCCATTGTCCTGCCACTTTTTACTCTTCACCTTCTAATTGTGCCTTTATCTTGTTCTTTAGTTAGCTTAGATACTTTGCTCCAAAATTAAAATGACTCCTATGTTACCTTCAACACTCTGTCTTAAATGATATACGCTTCTTAAAACACTAGCTGTTAAATTTAAATCTCCCCTGATTCTGACCTCACTGAAAAGCTTAACAGAGCTGGAAGAAAGTGCTTAACCTTTTGAAAATAAATGTAGTAGAAATTCTGAGCAATAACAAGGATTCCCTTGAGATGTGTGATAAAGAAAATGTAGTGAATTTCTACCACATTTGTCAAATACATTTCACCTTTGATTCTCAGTGATGTTGTTTCATACCCTCTCTTCTTTTAATTCCAATATCTTTAATTCTCCTTTCATTTGATAACTTTTCAATTATTTCTCCAAAAATATAAAAACAATAAGAAAAAATTTTTTTGTCATTCTTCCCTCTCTAATGTAACCATCTCCCTGCAACTTTCATTCTTTCTCTTTTAACCCCTTCCATTTTGATGAAAGAACTGTTTCTTCTTTTATCAAGGTCACTTCTTCATGTGTCCTTCTCAGTAAACGGTCCTAACCCCTACTCAGGCTAAAAGCCTAATAGTAATTCTTAATTTATCCTTTTAATATAAATCTTCCATTTTGTCCGCTATGAAGTTGTGTTGCTTTGCCTTCAAAATACAACTTAAATCTATGTCTCGTCACATTCATTATTATTATCCTAAGCCACCATATTTCCGTCTGAACTCTGGCACTTTCTTCCTAGCCTTGATTTTATTCATCTATGGACATATAGTACATACCTTTTTACAAATTTTCATTTACTTTTTCATTGATACACAATAGATGCACACATTTTCTGGGTACCTGGGACAATTTCATACATTCATATAATTTATAAAGATCAAATCAGTGTAATTAGGATATCCACTATCTTAAATATTTGTCTTATCTTTATACTAGAAATATCTGAATTATTCTCTCAGGGTATTTTGAAATATACAACAAACTATTGTAAACTACAGACATCCTACTGATCTATCAAACACTAGGTCTTATTTTATTTACCAAGTTGTATATTGGTACCCATTTATTATTTTTAATTAATCTCTTTATCTCCCCCTCCCCCTACTCTTTCTGGCCTCTAGTAACCACCTATCTATGGTCTATCTTTTTGAGATCCACTTTTTTAGCTGCAATATATTAGTGAGAAGATGCAATATTTGTTTTTGTGTGTTGGTTTATTTCATTTACATAATGACCTCCTATTCCATCCATGTTGTTGTAAATGACAGGATTTCATTCATTTTTTTATGGCTGAATAATATTTATACATTTCCTTTTTTTTAGAAGCATAAATTAAATCAAACCACACATCCCATTTCAAAATCTAACAGTGGACTTCTGATTTCTGGTCCAGCATATCAGAAGCTTGGAAGTCATCACTCAACCCCAACAACAAGTAAAAAACTGAACAAACTAAAAAAACAAAATCAATTACCCATTTCAGATTTCTAAGACAAGAGAGTTCACAGGGCAAATTGCTGTCCCAGAAATTGGAGAGGCAAACAGGTAAACATATAGAGCAACTTAATGTAGCAGAATCCCACAGGTAGTATTCTTCATGGAAACAAGTGCCAGGGGAAGAAAGCTTAACTGTGATTAACAATTTGCTGGAGACTTGGTGTGGACAAGTCTAAGAGCTTAAAAACTCCAGAGGGCCCCCATCTTTGGAGGGTTCCCCCATTTTTGTGAGTTTTACTTCCTTGAGCACAACCTGTTTTTTATGGTAAATATTAGAGAAAAATCTCCTTGTGTTTCTGGTTGAGAAGAGAAAAGAAAATCATTTAAAAATATACCAGAGAATTTGATTACTCTTCACAAGGTCTGTTTTTAGAATGAACTATTCAACCAGAGCCTAACCTGTTGGGATTTTTATCAGAACCTACCTGACTTGGGAGAAGATAATACCAAGATCCAGCTCCCTCTAACCATTCTGTCCCACTCAAAGAGGCACAAGCAAAGAGGAGAGGTGAAGTGAGAAACACGTGTAACGTTCACAATCCAGTGGCATGGGGTCACTGAAAGACTAAAACATAATCACTGGACTATGGAATGCTTGCCCCCCTTACACCATAGTACCACAGTACTACAGGTCTACTTAAAACTGTTCCTTTTACTCAATACATAACGTCAGGCTGCATAGAATCACAGTTTGAAGAAACAGAACAGGTATCACAAGCTGACTTAGATATGGCAAGGATGTTGGAATCGGGATCAGGTATTTAAAATAACTGTGATTAATATGCAGAAGATTCTAAAGAATAAAGTGGACATTGTACAAGAATAGGCGACAACGAAAACAAAGAGAAAGAAATTTAAAGTACAAAAAAATGTGCTACAGATTAAAAAAACACCTGAACAGAAATGAAGAGTATCATTTATCAGCTTATGAGTAAACTGGACACTTCTGAAAGATGAGTCTCATAGATTGACTATATATATATCCAAATATATATATATATATATTTTATATATATCCAAATATATATATTTTTATATCTCTCCAAGTATATATATATATATATATATATATAAATTCGATTGCAAAAAAATCTTAATTTTAAATATGTACTATATATATTTATATATATTTGGATATATATATGTTTGGAGATTATATATATATGTGTGTGTGTGTGTATATATATGTATATATATGTGTGTGTGTATGTGTATATATATATATATATATATATATATATATATATATATATGAGTCTCCAAAACTGAAAATCAAAGAAAATAACGACTGAAAAAACATGGAACAGAATATTTAACAAGTGTAGAACAACTATAGAAATGCAACTTATGCACAGGGGGATTACCAAAGGAAGAAGAAAAAGAGAACAGAGTTTCTTTTTGATATAAGGATTGCTTTTCCTTTGGGCAGGTACCCAGTAGCAGAGTTGCTGAATCAAAGGGTACTCTGTTTTTAGTTCTCTGGGAAATCTCCATACTGGGAAATCTCCCCAAAGAGTGTTTTCTGTATTTCAGTTATCTGGTTTCTGAGAAGTATCCATTTTGTTTATTTGTAATACATATCCACAGGAGATAAATAGCCAGCATGAGTACTGAAGCTACTTGTATGTTTATCTCAGCCCTATTTGACAATAGCAAAGATATAGAATCAACCTAACTGGTCATCAGCGGATGACTGAATAAAGGAAATGTGGTATATACACAAGGGAATACTACTCATCCACGAAAAACAGTGAATCATGTCCTTGGAAGCAACATGTGTGGAAACTAGAGGCCATTATATTAAGTAGAAAAATTCAGAAACAGAAAGTCAAATATTTTACTTTCTCACTTGGAAGCAGGAACTAAATCATGTGTACACATGACATAGAGTATGAAATGATAGACACTGGAGACTTGGAATGGCAGAGAGATGGTAGGAGAGTGGCTGATGAGAAATTACTTAGTAGGTACAATATATATTATTTGGGAGATGGATACAGTAAAAGCCATGACTCCACCACTATGCAATATGTGCATAGTGCACATATACACATGATAAAACTATACAAAGTTGCACTTGTACTTTTGAAATTTATATAGATTTTAAAAAAGAGAAAGATGCTTAAAAACAAACAAACAAGATCAAGGCTACCACCAGGCCAAATTTTTAAAAAAAGATGTCACTTCCTCCCAGTGGATAGGATTCAGCCCTGTGCTTAGGTGCACAGGTTAATATTTCATCTTCCACCCATTCTCTCTTCTGAAAACCCTTGTGCTGAGCACACCCTGCCCATGTAGGCACTGGTAAGGCTAAAGAACTTAAAAGTGCGGCCAATTCAAATATCAGCTGGATATTAATTTGAATCTTAAGTTACATTAACAGAAAAAAGTAGTCCTCTTCTGAAAGCTTGGCATTTAGTGTTGAATCATTATCAACCCTGATTAATTGACTGAAATAACAGATTAGAAAAAAATCTTAATTGGAAATATTCCAGGCACAGTGGGTCACACCTGTAATGCCAGCACTTTGGGAGGTGGGTAGATCACCTGAGGTCAGGAGTTTGAGACCAGCCTGACCAGCATGGTGAAACTCTGTCACTACTAAAAATACAAAAATTAGCTGGGCATGGTGGTGAGTGCCTTTAATCCCAGCAACTTGGGAGGCTGAAGCAAGAGAATTGCTTGAACTGGGAGATAGAGGTTGGAGTGAGCCGAGATCATGCCACTGCACGCCAGCCTGGGCAACAATGTGAGAATCCATCTCAAAAAAAGAAAAAGAAAAAAAAACTTCATTAGAAATATATCTCTGTGCTATATTTATTTTCATCAGAATTAATACGGGACAAAATTGCGAAGAGGCAGTTTTTCTCTAGTTTCCTTCCTCCTTCCATCTTTCATCATTTTTCCTTCTCCTGGTGACAATTTTAAAATGACAGTCTCAAAACTACAAGACAGTTTGGTTCTCTCCACAAGGAGCCTACAACCCCTTTTGCAGTGTCTTTCTTCCCCTACCTTTCAGATTCTGTTTTCTCTGCCCTTTTGTTGATCTTGTACCATAAAGGCCCAGATGAAACAGCTTCTCGTCAGGGTGAAGAGGGAGTGTGTGCTAGCAATTGCCTGCTCACTTTGGTTGCTCAGAGAGGAGGGAGACCTGTGACAACTCCCACACAATATATTTAACTTAGTCTAAGACATACTAATGTACAGAAGAGTAAAGTGGCATGTTTTAAGGTTACACTAATTTATTACACAGCAAGTATTAGAAACAAGGTCCATTTATTGTTTCATATAGTTTCTTCCCTGAGAAAGGCCTCCTGAGGCAAATAAAGCTATCACATTAAAAACTATCAAAGTATTGTGCCAGGTTGAACTTACTTAGAAATGGAGAACAGAAGTTCCAAGTTGGAGCAGGAAACTTAAGTCGCCCTTGTTACTGTGGAATGCAGCCTGTTAGACCAGTGTTATTCAAATGAAGGTTGGTGGCTTCTTCATCAGGGTTAAAATATGAATTCTATGACTTCCTAGCAGAATTAGCAAATCAGAGTTTCTGAGAGTGAAGTTTGTTTCTTTCCTGTGTGTGTGTGTGTGTGTGTATGTGTGTGTTTTAGACAAAGTCTCACATAGTCACCCAAACTAGAGTGCAATGGTGTGCCCATGGTTCATGGCAGCCTCAAACTCCCATACTCAAACTATCTTACCATCTCTGCCTACAGAGTACCTGGGACTACAGCTGCAAACCATCATGCCCAGTTAACTAAATTTCTTTCCTTTTTGTAGAGACGGGGATCTTGCCATGTTTCCCGGGCTGGTATTCAAGTAGCAAAACAAATTCATCTATATTTTTTCTTCTCCTTTCCTCAAGCAGAAGAAGTCTCTTCCAAAGCTGTGAGCTGTACTTCGTGGAGTTGGGGGAAGGCTTACACAAACTCTCTTTTGGTCACCCTACATGTTGTCTCACTCGGTTGTTGTGTGCACCGCAAGTAGATTAGCTCTGAGGGTAAACACACACAGCATCAGGACTTCCCCAAGAATGACGGTCCTTGTGGCCTAGACTGCCTTTCAAAATCACCTAAGACCCCAGAACACTTTAACCTGCAGTGGTGGAGCTAGCTGGAACTCAGGTTCCAACCACTGAGATGAATTGTGCTCGGAATAGCGCTGGTCTAAATGCTCCCTCTGGTGGCACTGGCTGAGTTCTGCCCTGCGTTTCTTTGTGCTATGACAGAGCTCCGCAGAGTTCCAACGCAAAGTCCGGCAATCATTTTATTCTCTCTCCTACGAGCGCAAAGATTTTCTCTCTTTGTGCCATGTGGCTTTTGGCAGGGAATAGAGCAGGGGTGGTGTCAGCAATTCAGGATTGTCTTTCCTATCCTCTTCAGTGCCTCTCTCCTTGATATAATGTTAAAACCAGGTACTGTGATTGCTCACCTGTTGGGGTTCTTAGAAAAGGTACTTTCGTGTGTGGGTAGTTGTTCAATCTGTTGCTCCTTCGGGGAGAGAACATCACTGAAGGGTTCTATTTGGCCATCTTGCTCTGACTCCCCCTAGTAAGGCTGCTTCTGAGGTCTTCAGTTTGGGGTATTGTTTTCTGAACTCCAATAATATCATGTTCAAGGCTAAAAAAAAAATTCAGTATTACATAAGGAAACAGGGATAAAGAGAACTAAAATTGCATTAAACTTTCCAGTTTTCCTGATAGAATTATAAAAACATATATATATGCATAGAAATCCTGAAACCACTAAATTTTTATTATGTTATCCTCCATTACTATTCGCAAGTGAGAAAGGTACAGAGATTTGTCAGACGCCCTCTCCCCCGAACCACATGAATAGCTTCCCCTATTATCAATATCCCCACCAGGTTGATACGTGAATTACAAATGATATAGTTGTATTTAAGAAATATATCAGTTTGTAATCATCATTTCTTAAAGTCTGTTTACAGTAAGGTTCACTCTTGGTCTTGTACATTCTAGGGGTTTGGGAAAATATATAATAATATGTATTCATCATTATAGTATCATGCAGAGTATTTTCATTGCCTTCAAATCTGTTTTCCACCTATTTATCCCTCTTCTTACCCTGACCCCTGACAAAGGCTGATCTTTCCACTGTCTTCACAGTTTTGCCTTTTCTAGAATATGATATAGTTAGAATCATATAGTACAGGTTTTCAGATGGGGGTCTTTCCACTTTCCAGTATGCAGTTACATTTCCTCCATGTCTTTTCATAGCTTGATCACCCATTTCTTTTTAGCACTAAACAATGTTCTGAATGTACCACAATTTATTTAGCCATTTACCTAGTGAGGGACATCTGGATCTTTCCACAGTTTGGCGATTATGAATAAAGCTGCTATAAACATTCTTGTACAGGTTTTTGTGGATGCAACTTTTTCACTCCTTTAGACAAATAACAAGAAACACGATTGCTAGATCCTATGGTTTAAGAATACGTTTAGTTTTATAAGAAACTGCCTATTTTTCAAAGTTACTGTACCATTTAGCATTCTCAACAGCAATGAATGGGAACTTGTATTGCTCCACGTCCCTGTGAGAATTTGTTGTAGAATATTGTATTTTAACTTGCCTCCCCTGATTTCTTATCCCATAAACCCTTCATCCCACACTGAGATTGGAAGTCTGCTAATTTTATTATGGTAACTGATTTTTCAGTTTTCATCTGAATGATTGTTGAAAGTAGAGAAGTAATCTTGAAGTCAGAGGAATATGATGTAATAAAGCATTCAGATATTTCATATCACAGAATCAGAATAGCAGAAAGGCTTTTTCAAGTTGTGTTCACTGGTAAAACTTTATAATGAGGCTAGGTGTGGTGACTCATTCATGTAATCCCAGCACTTTGGGAAGCTGAAGGCAGGCAGATTGCTTGAGCTCGGGAGTTCAAGACCAGCCTGTGCAACATGACAAAACCCATCTCTTCGAAAAATTAGTTAGGCATAATGGTGTGCACCTGTAATCCCAGTTACTCAGGAGGCTGAGATGGGAAATTGCTTAAGCCCTGGAGGTTGAGGCTGCAGAGAGCCATGATCGTGCCACTGCACTCCAGCCTAGGTGACAGAGTGAGACCCTGTTTCAAAACATATATAAAAAAATGTAATTAAAATGAACCTGAACTTGCTTTATGATCTGAATTAATTTAAGTGTAAAAACATGTCTGAATAAGCCACATAACCTCTCACATGTGAAACACAAATACAATGATATGGCCTAACTCTCTGGCTTCGTGTTCCCTCATTCTCACACTGTGAACTCTATGCATTTACGGTGATTTATTAATTGTGCTCTTTGCTCCTCTTCTCTACATCAGTTACTTCAACCCTTGTGTAACTGATAATGTTTTATCCTTTTCAGACTAGGACAAAATATTACCACTTGGAAGTATTTTCTAGCCTACAGCTTACCAACAAAAGCTCAATTAGGTCTCCCCTAACTGAGAAGTGTTCCTCTTCTGTCCTGCTGTGATACTATATGCATGTCCTTGTTAGCACATTTGCTACATGATATTATAATAGATTGCATGCTTTTCTGAAGACATTTCAAACTTTCTTTTGTTAAATATTATGCCCTATTCATATCTGTATCCCTCACTTAGTTCCTGACACATAGTATGCACTCACGAAAATGTTTGTTGAATAAATAATCATTGCTTGGCTAAGGTAAGCAATCATTGTAGTCATTTGTCTTCACCCATCTCATTTGTGGATAACCCTCTAAGAAGATGTCATTTAGAAAACCCAGGTCTGCCCCTTTATAGAACCAAATGTAAGAAGCCCTCTGGATACTAATCTTCTATGTATAGCAGTTTTTTGGTTCCTATTTTAGAACGGTAATGAGGCTTTACCAAAAATTGAAGGGCCACTGCCATCTATGAAACTAGTGGTTTCAGAAACTCATTTATCCAGCTCAGCTTATGATAAGTAGCATGTGTATTGAAGTCCTCAAGAAAGAGCAGACCCAGCTGTCTGAAAGTCATCCAGGAGGCATCCCAAGCTTAATATCCTCTTATTGAGCCCAGATACCCTGGTGAACAAATCTACTCCCTCCACTAGGCATTGCTACTCTAACCAGGATCAACCCAAACTAGGTGTTCTCTGTTTAAAAATAACAGTCTAAATGCAGTTAGGTTTTCTGTGACAGAAAATCTTTTAGTGCTTCCAAACTTTTCACAAATGGCTGCATCTGATGTTTACTTTGTTCCAGTTTAAATTACTTTAGACTTTTATCGGGCATTCAATGTATGGATTTGCACTTTAGGAGAATTCGCATGAATACCGAAATACTAACAGCTGGAAATATGTATAAATAAATCTAAATAAGAGTTTCTCAGTGTTCTCAGCAGAGTCCTGGGAAAAAATAAGTGAGGGATTTAAACCATTTCTTGCGATATTATTATTGGTAACTTTGGAAGGAGGCGTGAAGCAACATAATGTGAGGCTGCATTCAGCATGGCACAGCCTAAGGAAAGAAAACGCATCTGACATTTACAAGAAAAGCCTTCATGTCCCTGGATTTAAATTCAGTGAGTGTTAAAATATCCCATATCATGCTTGTAAAGCTAATTCCTGCTTACTTAAGAACTTACCATTTTTCTAGTAGATGGAAGCCTGCTGCTTGTCCTCAGGAAAGCAGTTTGACTCATTTGCTGTCCTAACCAAATTTTAATCAAGGGAAAACTGTCAACAAAGAGGACAGTTTAGATACGTTCCATTTTTCTCCTTCTCAAATGTCTTCTTGACATCTAAACTGTGCCCAAATCCAACCAAATTAAAGGGTTGCCAAAACAGTTTCATGAAATTCTGAGTGACAGTCACAAAGACACCAGGATAAGTTCCAAGGCCAGGTTGGTTTTCTGAGAACATCATTATTTAGGGTTTTAAGTCTTGAAGCTTTATATTCATTCTTTTGTTTCCCCAAGGAATCCTAATCCCAATTTCATCAAGATACAAAAAAGAGTGTAGTTATTAAAATTAATTAAATTTTCTTTTAATTAACAAATACTTCTTGAGTACCTGCTCTCTGAGATACTGAATAGCATTGCAAACACCAGTATAAAGACATGCTTTCGATTGTGTGTAAATAATACCTTTCTGGGTTACATGCTTTGTCCAGAAAAGGGATATACTCGTGAACACAGGACTGACAGAAATTCTTTTTGCCCCTTTTCGGCTCTCCTCAATCCTGCCTCCTGTAACACAGATGCCTTCTTGGACCATAATGTCTGGGGAAACACACAAAGTGTGGCACAAGGGTGACTTGGAATGAGCTTAAGTCCCTGAGAAGCAGAGCGAGCTCACTAGCCCTGGATGATACACCTCTGGATTTTTCTATGAGAAAGAAAGAAACACTATGTTTTGCTAAGCTGATGGTAATTTTAAGATTTTCTCTTACTACAGCTAAAATTATGATCAAACTACCTTTCAATCTCCTTTTGCCTTATAAATCCTTCACTACATAGACCAGAAATCGTTTCTACAGAAAACTCTCCCGACAAGGACCAACCAAAGAGGATAAAATGTAAAGTAAAATAAATTACTCTAAAGCAGCATAAATAGGAAATATGACATAGAAGCTAAGAAACAGAGGATTGAAAAAATGGGAAGCACAGACATACTTAAAGAGATGGTTCTTGTCCTTTGTAGGGACATGATGACTCTGGAAACCATCATTCTCAGCAAACTGACACAAGAACAGAAAATCAAACACCACGTGTTCTCACTCATAGGCAAGTGTAGAACAATGAGAACACATGGACACAGGGAGGGGAGCACCACACACTGGGTCCTGTTAGTGGGGGGCTAGGGGAGGAACGGTGAGGGGTGGGGAGGTTGGGGATGGATAACATGGGGAGAAAGGCCAGATATAGGTGACGGGGGGATGGAGGCAGCAAATCACCATGTCATGTAAGTACCTAGGCAACAAACCTACATGATCTGCACATGTACCCCAGAACCTAAAGTATAACAACAACAACAAAGAGATTTCTAAGCACTTACAGGAATTTTAAGGATTTCCAAGCAAGATGAATAAAACAATATTTATATACAGACAATTTTAGTGAGACTACAGAACAAAAAGAGCTCTTAGAGGCAGCAAACTATGTCTAAATCCACATAATCTTATCACTTAAAAAATGGAAATTGACTGAGTTGAATTTTCAATAACAATAGAAGTTGGAAGACAGTGAATGAAATTCAATATGTCAAGAAAAGTAACTCTCAGCTTAGATTTCCTTGCCCAGTAATAGAACCTTTCAAGAGCAAGTATAAAATAAAGATCATTTCTTTAATGTACAGATTTTGACATCATAGAGAATAATTTCATAAAGAAAATAATTCTATTAAAATATCTGGGATGCAAGAAGTGGTGAGTAAGGTACTATAAATATGAGCTAAATCACAACACTAGGAGACTACATTAGAGAGAGTAATAATATATACTTTAAGGGGTTAAAAAAGGCAAACTTTGATTGAGTCAAAATACACGTCAGCATTATCATATTAGAAAGAAAGAAGTTGGAGGGTAAAACATTTAAGTTGTTGAATTATTTCAGAAGATCTAAATACATTAATTGATGTTTGACTCTATCAAATTATATACCAAAATAATAGGTATAAAGCAATTTTTAAACTGGCAAAGAAAAAAATTGAAGTCCCAACCCCCAGTATTTTAGAATGTGGCTATTCTTAGGGAGAAGGACTTTAAAGAGATAATTAAAGTGAAATGAGATAAAAATCTGGGGCCTTAATCTGATATGACTGGTGTCTTTATATGCAAAGGAAGAGACAACAGAGATGTCTGTGCAGAAAGGAAATGTCGTATGAGGACACAGGGAGAAGGTGGCCATCTGCAAGCCAAAGAGAGGCCTTAAGTAAAACCAAACCTGCCAACTCTTTGATCTAGGACTTCTAGTCTCCAGAACTGTGAGAAAATAAATTTCTGTTGTTAAGGGCACCCTGTCTGTACCACTTTATTATGGCAACCCTGGGAAACTGACGTACCTCTCTTTCAATATTTGATAGACAAATACACAACAACTCACTATAAAAATATACATATGAAAATTATATATATATAAAATTCAGGACATAGACATGGGCAAGGACTTCATGACTAAAACACCAAAAGCAATGGCAACAAAAGACAAAATGGACAAATGGTATCTAATTAAACTAAAGTGCTTCTGCACAGAGAAAACAAAAACACAAACACAAAAAAAACTATCATTAAAGTGCAACAGCAATCAACATAATGGGAAAAAATTCTTGCAATCTACCCATCTGACAAAGGGCTAATATCCAGAATCTACAAATAACTTAAAGAAATTTACAAGAAGAAAACAATGAACCCCATCAACAAGTAGGCAAAGGATAGATATTTAT